CATTCCAGTAAAAGCCGAGGAAACAGTGAGCTCTCTTGCTCCCTCTTGTGATTTTACAACCGCACCCAAAAACTTGGTTTACAGTTTAAAGTGATACATACACTTAAACTCACTAACATAGTTTATATATTATTCTACCCAAACTAAGTTAGGTAAACAATGTTATCCCTAACACAAACAATACAAAAATCTTAATTAGGTTGAGTTTGGAGTAGTACTTCTCAACCTTGGCAAGATATAAGATGTGTGGCCTTCAACTCTCAGAATTCCCCAGCCAATGTGAAGTCCACACATCTAAGGTTGAGAAGTCCCAAAGATGCCTTTCCAAAAGACTACTGGACTTTCTTGGTATTTTCCTTGAAAATGTTTTGTTTCTTATCCAAGAAGCTTCTCCAGTTCTGATCTGGAGTGTTGGAGGAAGGGCACAAGAAGGAGCCTGGAGATGACAGCCCGACCCCAAAATTCTGCTGTACTTCCCTGATTGGTGGATGATTTTTCCATTCACTAACATGCTAAAGAGGGAGGGCAGCAAAGCCAGAGAAATCAATCAAGAAGGATATCTCATGTGCATAATCTGGACAGCTCTATTTAGCAGTGAGTTAGAATAGAGCCAAGAGAAGCGGATTAGGGATTGTTCCTTGTTAAAGTAGCCTGTGGTTTTTTTGGGGGGGTTTCTTTATTTATTTTATTTTATTTATTTTTATTTATTTATTTGATTTGCCAATTGTTTACAAGATAATAAGTATAAGCGTATACATAGTTGTGAATACATGAAATGGGTACATATAAGAAAAATAAAAGAATAAGAGAAACAATAGGACAGGGACGGTAGGCACGTTGGTGCGCTTATGCACGCCCCCTACAGACCTCTTAGGAAGGGGGTGAGGTCAATAGTAGACAGTCTAAGGTTAAAGTTTTTGGGGTTTGGGGAAGAGACTACAGAGTCGGGTAGAGTATTCCAGACGTTGACCACTCTGTTGCTGAAGTCGTATTTCCTGCTATCAAGTTTGGTGCGGTTTACTTTGAGTTTGTATCTATTGTGTGCTCTTGTGTTGTTATGGTTGAAGCTGAAGTATTCATTGACAGGTAGGACATTGGAATGTATGATTTTATATACCATGCTTAAGTCAGACCGAAGATGGCGTAATTCAAGGTTTTCTAGTTCTAGAATTTCAAGTCTGGTGGCATAAGGTATTCTACAACGAGTAGAAGAGTGGAGAACTCTCCTTGTGAAATATTTCTGGACTTTCTCAATTGTGCTAATATCAGATACGTAATGAGGGTTCCAGACTGATGAACTGTATTCGAGTATTGGTCTAGCAAATGTTTTGTATGCTCTGGTTAGTAGTGTGATATTACCAGAGAAAAAGCTACGTAGGATTAGGTTAACTCTTAATGCCTTTTTGGCTATGTAGTTGCAGTGGGCTCTAGCACTTAGATCATTAGAGGTGAGTATTCCAAGGTCCTTTACAGAGCTTGGGTCATCAACAAGTTCTTGACTATTCAGCTTGTATTTTATTTTCTGATTTTTTTTGCCAATATGTAAGACAGAGCATTTATTTGTTGAGATTTGAAGTTGCCATTTGTTTGACCATTCAGATACATAGTCGAGATCTTTTTGAAGGGTAGCAGTATTGTCTGTGGTATTGAACAGCTTTACATCATCAGCGAAAAGAACGCAATTGCTCTTAATATGATCGCAGAGGTCATTTATGTAGAGTATGAAGAGAGTTGGTCCTAGAACACTGCCTTGGGGGACACCACTATTGACAGGTACATTTATGCAGTGGAACCATGGGTATCCAACCTCTGACCCCTTTCTCCAGTTCTCCTTTAAGTGCTAAGGAAAGTAGAATGTTGGAATAGATCCTCCAGGATTTTTCTTATTCCATAGATGTGCTCAGCTTGATGTTTGTTCTGCTATCCAGCTGCTTGACTTTACAGCTGTGGCTACCAAGCTAACTATTATTAATGGATTGATTTGGGCCCAGTGTCCTCTGCTGAGATTGATGACTGTTCTGGCTAACCAGAAGCCAACTGGATGAAAGCTGTGATGTCAGGAAAATAAGCAGGATAGAGTTGCTGGGAAGTTGGTCTTCTTTGACCAGGCCTCTGTTGTCTCCCATTTGGGACAGCAGGAGGAGAATTAAATCTTAAATGGCCATGGCTCTTTTTATAGCTGGATATATAGTGGCTTCCCTGAGGGAAGAGGAGCATTTGGCTAACTATTTTAAATAAAAGCTGAGGAAATAATAGGTTGAAACTCAAAAATATAAGAAGTCCTTTAAACTAATTCAATATACCAGTACAGGTAGTCCTTGACTTAGAACATGAATGCGCAGGGGGTGGGGGTGGGGGGTCACGTGTGCATTGCATTTTTTAATGTACATTTAAATAATACAATGAGGATTATATAAATTTGATTAATGGGATAGAGATTATCAATAATGTTAGCGTGAACTGGATTAATACGAATGATACCTAGTTAAATTTGTTCATATATAATAGAGAAATGTTTAGATTGAACAGGAAAGATACAAATGAAGATAGAGAAAAAGATCAGGTGTTAGGCATTTTTTGTTTATGTATGTTTAAATATTCAAATAAGGATTATATAAATTTGATAAATGTGACAGAGATTATTAACAGTGTTAGCGTGAATTGGATTAATATGAATGATATCTTGTCAAATTTGTTCAGGTACGTTAGAGAAATGTTTAGATTGAACAAGAAGACAGAGATAAAGATGAGGAGTTAGACATCTTTTGCCTATGTATGTTTGAATAATATAATGAGGATTACTTAAAATGGATAAATGTGATAGAGATTATTAATACTGTTATTTTGAATTGGATAAATATGAATGATACCCAGAACCAACTCTCTCTCTCTCTCTATATATATATATATATATATCTCCTGTCTATATATAGAGAGAGACAGGATAAAAATCAAATAAATAGACTCAGTATATTAAGCCAAAATTTGGTTGGCTAGTGTGTGATTTAGACTGTTGTTTAAACATAGGCACAGTCCCTACCCAGGTTTCAAGCAACATGTTTCCCAATGTGCCTTGGAATTATGACAACCCCTCAATTCAACCCTGTCTGAATGCAAAGCATGTGCCATTCTGCTGAGTTACAGGAACTTGTATTTCTGGTATGGGTTAGTAAATTATAATGAAGACCAATATTGCCAAGGATGCCTTGGGGAAAAGAACATAGTCCCTGCCAGTCAGAAAAGTTCCACATTGAGTACATTGTGGTTTTGCATGTCAAGGGCCTCTTATGATGTTTGTGTTGTTTGTCTTTTATATTATTGCCCTGCCTTATAAATGTGATTCATCTGGCAAAAATGAGGCCAATACAAATTCAGGCCAATACTGTTTTGACAGTTTTAATGGAGCTGTGTCATCCAGCCTGGCTGAAGGCCTGGCACATAAAATATAAAATATGAGTACTTTTTATGTTTGGAAAGATGAATCTTAAAAGCGTTTACAAGCTCTTGGGGAACAATAGAAAATATATGGGTATGTTGTGCGTCTTCTTAACTGACTGACTGAGGTTTTAAACCTTACAATTTAAGAGCCGAGAACAATTGATCATAAACTTTTAAGTTCATTTCCCAACTTGATAGCTCCCCCATGTGTTGGATTTCAAATCCCCTAATTCCTAGCCAACAAAGTGAGAAAATAGCTTTTAATAGAGATCTGTGTTTATTTTAATTCATGCTGTGAACTACCAGACTCAATAGTTTACATTCTAAAAATGAGTTATTCATAAGAGAAAAGTTTCCTATCCTTCATTTCCCTGCTTCCTAAGCAAACTCAGGGGGGAGATACTTCTGAATAACACAGGATGCGATGGAACTACAAGGGGAAGAAATGAAAAATATACCTTCAGTGAATGTGTTTGTGTGAATAGAAATGTACAGCAAGGGATATAATGTGCTTTTGGGGGTGTCAGGCACTAATAATCAATAGAATACATTAAAAGAGATATTCAACCAGTTGACAGATTTTAAAACTCTATTGAGAGTTGGATCTCAGTATTTAAATGGGAGACCACCCAAAAATGTCAGTGCTAAAGACTAGCCTGGGAATTTAAAAAAATACCTTAAAAGAAGGAAATGGAAACCATGTTCATTGTATTGCCAGAAAAACTACATGGTTGCCATGAGATCATTAGAAGCTGAACCTGACTCACAGGATATGTTCAAAATTTGAACTGTATTGTTGAAATATGTTGTTTATATTAATGTGTAAGATTATAAATATAATGTTTAAATTCTGTTTTCTTCTTTTTTGCAAATTACAGAATGGATGGATTACAAACCTTAAAAGGTTCCTCTAGACCAGGGGTGTCAAACTCAATTTCATTGAAAGCTGCATCAGGACTGTGGTTGACCTCGAGAGGCTGGATGGGTGTGACTAACTGGGTGGGCATAACCAGCTTGACACCACAGTCTCGGCGTTGCCAACTGGGTGGGCATGGCCAGCTTGACGCCACTCCCCAAACTGCTGGCATGTTTCCTCTTTGCACTGGGTAGACCAGCCGAAGCCACGCTTCCCTAATGTTT